GAACTTTCAAGTGGACAAGGAGAAGCTAGCTTCAGCAGGATTTTATGTGCCTTTTTGGCCCTTACGTGCACATTAAATTCTAACATAAGCGCCTGTGTTTCTCACCCAGAGGAACTCCCCCACTGCAGTCTGGTCTTGGTCCGTTTTGTGCAGCATGCTGCCTGCACAGAAAGCAGAAGGAGAAAAGCGTAGAGCTATTGAATATTTCAGCAATGGGGTTTACTGGACTTTGGGGACAGCTTTACACCTCCCACAAACAAGTTGAGGAACTTCAGGAAAAGCAGTAAGCATTGAGTAAGCCTCATACTAACACTTCATTTCACTGACACCGGCTCCAGCCTTGGCTCTCCAGGACTAGGTGCTCTCGCTGCCCCAATGCCAAACCAGGAAGCCAAACTTCCCAAGATTACAACACCCATCCCCTAGATGTGACAGGGATGTTCACACTGTGGGTGCAAGTATTTTATAACAAATTGTAAAACAAATGTATGTGTAATTTTTAGCAAGGGTTGATTACACTGATTACTTATGTAAGTTGAGCTACCTAAATGTATGTCAGCTACAGAATAAGGGTGATCCATTTGTTCCCCTCAGTTTCATAGTTCTGAAGCAAGAGAAAACCTGGCTCCACTCCCTCAACAAAAACTCATTCTCAAAAGGAGGATGTACCTTAAGAAAAGCAGGAGAAAGAAGCAGCAGCCACTGTGATTCAATTATTTTTCTGGAGGAATGTGCACCATTAAAAACTAAATTTGATAGTGTAGGACTTTAAACACAGTTATATATGCATATAACAAAAGTGATGAGGAAAACCTGCTCCCAAGTCTGTGTTTGCTAGCATTGAGTATTCAAAATGACATCCAAAGCACTTCACTTCTGTTCCCCATTGGTTCATTCGTGTCAGTGTAATCTTCACACAATTACGAACTATGATGAACAAGTCCCACTCTGAAATTTGAGCCCTAAAGGCGGCATATGTTATCCAAATACATAACCTAATGTAAGCACATTGGGATTCTTTCAACCACAGATTTATGTAATTTCAATTATTTCTAATGTTGCAATAGAAGCATCATGTTCAACTCATTATAGCTCAGAACATTTTTCTACTACATCTTCTGGAAAAGAAATACCATTCTTCAAAGTTCCACAATTTTCATAGCCTTCAGCAAAATACATTTCTTACCTTTATTAGCACAATCTTTACTATTAAGCCATTTACATAACTTAGTTTTTGACTGACTCTGTAATCTTCTGACTGACTGGATTATAGACATAATGTGTTTCCTCGAGGGATTTTTCAACTTACAGAATCTGCAAATTTCTCACTGTCTAAATTATAGCCCATGATTTCATGTCATCCATTTACACATCCTCAAAAACACAAATAGAGGAAAACTATTTCTACAGGTGGTTCCCCATGGCCCTTTGCCAACAAAAGAGCTTAGGAGCTTACGACAGTGAATTACACTCTTCAGAAACTGTCCTAATTTTTGTCGCTAAATTTGATGTTGCTTTGCCACCACTGCCTGAAAATAGTCCGAGACTGGGAGATGCCTGGGTATCTGGGAATACCACTTACAGAGACAGTCCCTAGGTAAGATAGCTGCAACCCAGATAAAAGCTGGTAAGACTTGCTAAATCACATGGATATATTTGCATCAGGTAGTGCATGCCACAGTGGACAGTTTTAATGAAAAACATAGTGGAAAGAGGAGACAAACATCTACAGCACACACATCTCCCCTCTCCCTCCATCAATAAGTACATGTTGTAAGAACATAGACAACACAAGCTCCCCAGTAAGGGCAAGCAAGAAGAAGATCCACAGCAGGTCTGCAGAGAGGGCCTGCAAGAGCAGAGCATCAGAGAAACAGCACAAGGTCACGTTTATAGCACATCTCTGGCTCTGCCCAGCTCTAAGTCACCTCTTACTGCTCAGAGACACCACAGCACTACAGTCAGGCACTGAGCCTCGGTGTTTTCCCATACAGCACAAAGGTTGAAAAGAAGCCTTTGCCCCAGTGCATCCCTGTGAAGCTCGTGACACAGTGCAGAGTCAGGTCAAACGGTTAAAGTCAGGGTATGACTTGCAGATAAGCCTTGCCCTTAATTTGTCAGATGCTTCAGCAATCAAGTAATAAAACAACACAGAGTCAAGTTTAACACTGAAGCACAAGTGATTCATCCAGCTTTTACCAAGCTTAAGGATCATGCAAGTTTCTTCCCCTTGGAGGAAGGTCCACTGCCATGGAGAAGACATAATAGAACATGTATCAATGAAGGCTAAAGAGCAATAAATGTCAGTTCACAATAATGTGTGCTGCAAATCCTGGTAAAAAGGAGTAAAGAAAATGCAGCATCTTCTACATTCCTTAAAGTGAAAATGGCCTTATCCCGTCATAGGGCCAACAGCTGGAGATGGGATGATGATTTACTTCTTCAACCATCCTCTACAGTGTGTGTAAAATGGCCTTTACACAAAGTTGTGCTGATGAAATCAGGCTGATGACCTTTTTTTACATAATAAAATGCTGTCAAGTATAGCTTTAATAATAACTTAAGAAATTGTCAAATTTTTTGATTAAAGATGATATATAGAGATGAGAAAGGTAAAATATTTATTCTAAAGTTAAATGAAAAAATGTTCTCTTATAACAAACATAAGGATGAGTTGCCCCGTGTCTGGCATTCTTTGTGAATATTTCCCAGAATTACCAGTGCCAGTATCTGGTCAGTGCAGCTCTGAGCTTGTTAAACACTTAAACGTAGAAAAGAAGCATTTTCTGATTTAAATTTGTTAGGGATATTTTTGTTTTGGCATGACTTTTTAAAAAACAAGGATAATGGATCTTGTCAGGGTATGAGCATCATAGGGAAAGGAAGAGAAGTCTGAGAATTTTGCCTGATTAAAATGTGCAGTGGCTTGCACATTTCAACACTCATTCCAAACCTTCAGTTCCAGATAAATATTCATAAATGCATTCACCACCAGTCTGGTAATGTTGTTCTGAAATTTAGAGGCTCAGTTCTCCTTGAATCCCCAGATAGGCCCCGCACTTAAACTCTAAGCAGCAACAAAACCAACAAAATAGGTAGAACTCATACTGTTAGTACAATATCAGGTGGTTTGAGCAATCATACGAGCATGGATGCTATTCAGCATGTAAAGTTTTCAGAATGCTCTCACACCAGTAGGCAACAGAGGGCATATAAAGTAACATTAAACCATTTTGCCAGTATTTGAATAAAGCACCACTATTTTCCAAATTTCCTAGAAATTAACTTCACATCTCAGGCATCCACACTAACCAAAAAGTCTCATCCATGTAGAAGAGCTCAAACAATGCTCCAAGTCTTTCTTATTTAATAAATAAATAGACAAATACATAAATAAAGACACATTTCTCAGTACACATTTTTAAAGTCCTCTAGCTGTCTAGACAGTGAAATCCTCCACTGCATTGTAGACTAAAGGGAAAGTGCAGCCATCTTGTTATATAACAATATAAATATGGGGGAACATTCAGTCAGCTCAAAAAAGGGACTAGCTCAGAATGGAGCAAACAAAATTCTTCCTCCAGCATAACAAGTCTGTTCGATTGCCATCTATAAATTTGTTAGCAAGGGAAAAAGTGTAATGAGTTTCTATAGAAATAAACCAAACACTATCTGGCATCATAAAAGTGAACATGACAAAATCAAATTTCAGTTTTAAAAAATTAACAGTTTTAGGAGAATGTAAGGCTTCAGACACAAGAGACTTAAAGGCATGATTGATGGGATGTAAATGTTATGTATTATCAGCTCCCCATAATACCAGGGCTGTTTGCACAGTTTTTTCTGAGGTATCTGATGCTGACTACAGCACTGAACTGGGGTCTGATGCAGCCTGACAGTTTCTGTGTCTCTGTACACTTAACAAGGTAGAACTAAAAATACAATAACAATCAAACAATACAGACACATTCCTGGTGATGCATTGCAGAGACAGTTATAAAAAGAATAAGCTCTCCCCCCCCCCTTTTTTTTTTTTAACCAGAGTGGCAGGATAAACCTATTTGATTTTTTTTTTCATGTTATAATTAAATTCCCAATCATGGAAAACAGACAGCCCACTCTTTTTGTTTTCATCTAGAGTTTTCTGTAGCAGTCATTACTAATGCCTTTGTTAAGCAGAAGTCAGGTGGAACCAAGAAAACAGGAACTAACCTGCTGCTCCTTTGAGGCTCTGATCTGGGTGTGCAAAGAACAAGGATTTGTTGCAGTCATTGGCTTGCCACCTGCCCAAGGCATTCAACTGTATCCAACACAATGATGCTGGAAACAATTCATGAGTAAATACACAATAACATTTGTATGTTTACAGCATCTGTCAAAGGTGTGGGTAGGGTGATTTCTCTACTGTGTGTTTCCAGTGCAAGTCAAACCCATTAATTAAATTCATGCTCTTGTCCTGCTTCAAAAGGAAAAACAGAGCTGATTTATGGGCACTGACTGCTGCAGGAACCAGGAGCTGGTTTTGCTCACTCCCTCTCCTTAATTAATTTTTAAGCATCTGGATAGGTTGATTTCTCAGATTCTGATCATACAAAAGGCTGCACATCCTCAATTTGTACAAAGAAAAAGAGCTGCTCCATGCAGAGTACTGTCTGTCAGGGTTTCTCAGTGCTGGCTGAATAGTGTCTACAGGAACGGTGTACCGGAACATCCTTGTGCCCAAGGAAGGGATGAAGCTGCAGAAGTTCCCGATTATAAGACATTTCTTGTTTAGTAATTCTTTTACATGTCCTGACAACAATAATTCCAAAATGAGGAAGAGTTGCCTGCATAACAGTGTAACCTACTGCAACAACAAAAAAATATCTCTTTTTAATAAGAGTATCCGGGAAATTGCCAAAAATACCTTCTGCTAGAGGGCATAGAAATGCCTCTTTATCACCACAGCACATATATGCAAAATATCAGCAATACACTAGTGTGTTTTTTTCTTCTTCTAGGTTCTTTAAACAAGAGACAGATTGCTAATATTTGGGGCTGAAATCTGGAGGTAAGCAATCAGAAGACATTTAACACCCAAACTAGGAACAGGAAACTCTTACAGAAGTGGAAAATTTTGGATACTGAACTTTCACCCTCGGCTTCTGGGAGATTTTTATTAGTAAAGAACTATATAACCATAGGCAGATTATATTGACACTGCATCACCTGCCCAGCAGAGCCATATGCTGCTGCTGCTGACACTGCCAATAAAGATCAAAGCTTCCCATGAATTAATGAGCTAAACCTGGGTGTTGTATGTTTCATCCCACGCTTATAGACCCTATATTGACAGAGTGGAAGGTTGGGACAGATGAACTCTGGAACTACCTTTCAATCAATTATTTTATGATTCTGTACAACACCTTGTAAAACATAAGACAAATTTATTCTGTTGTGATTCATAGTCCAGGCACCAGAAAGCCTGCTATGAACAAGGATATACCATCTAAAAGAGCTCATTATCACTAGTGGCCAGGAAGAAATAGAAGGTAGCCAGCATTGGTCTACAAGAGTGGTAGTGACCCAAAGGGGCCTCACTAAGAGATGACTCTAACTGAGAAACCTCTTTCTGGACATGAATGGACACATGATAATGGACTGCAGGATCAGCTAAACAGACAACACTATCCTAAGCTGCCTTCGCTAATGGAAAGAGGGTAATTCTCCAGAAATCTCTTGTACAACTGGCAGGACCACACAGCTCTTCCAGCCAGCCTATTTTCAGCTGTGGATCAAGATCTCTCCTTTCGTCAGCTTGTTTTTACCACTCAGAAAACAAGCCTTTTCAGTTACAGATTTCAGAATTCAAGAGCTAGCATACCAATATGTAAAAACTTTTTAAATTCAAGGAAGATTGACAGAATAACTCACCTCAACATGATTATATTTCCTAGGTAAATTTTGTAGAGAAAATTGACTGTTTCTCTTCCCCCTCAATTATCCCAGTGAGCCAAGACAACTGCCATTACCTACACATTTATTTTTCGTCATCCCTATCCAGTCCAGGAGATAATTGTGCTGGTTTACAGTGGAAAGATTATTTCTTCACTCTAAGCATTCATATAAACAATTCAGGATTTTCAAATTTAGCTTCGATTTCACAAAACTGCTCCATTTCTTGAACTTACAACCGAATCTTAAAGGCTTTGAATCCACTCCTAGGAAGGTCAGTACAGTTTTACCATCAAAGTGCATTGAGAGCACATTAATACAGCCATCTGTAAACACTTAGAGAGAAACACATGGACAGAATCTCAAAGAATGCATGGAAATCTCAGGTTTGTTCCACTGAAAAATTGTAATGAAGAGTTGAACTGATCATAAAGACCCAAAAGAAAAAGCTATTGGACAACAGTTTGCAGCAGTACCACAAAAGCACAAGGGCCAAGGCTATTAGAAAAGGGGATGAAACTGTGAGGGGAATTCAAACCTTAGGGCATAAATTTAAACCACTGTTGATAGTTAAGAACTTTCTGAAACTTTTAGGGATAGCATAGAATTCTAACAGTTTTTATCAACAAGGAAAAACAAATAGTGTCCACATCTGACTGATCTTCAGCTCAGCTTGGAAGACCAAGTTATGATTTCTGGAAAGGAAGAGTTAAACCCCGTATTGCTTAATATGTTAGTTCTCTTCGATTCTTAGATGGATGGAGACTTTTCTCATGAAAAGTGCTGGTCAACTTCACACATTATATAAAGAGGGGCTGTGTGTGGTGCTTGAAAGTTTCAGGGTGGGACCAGTGGCATCAGGGGATGGATCAGAAAATGCAGCACCTCATGCACACTTCCAGTGGAGGACACAACTTTTAAAACCAAAATCCTAGAAAGAGATTCAACAGCAGCACAAGAAGGTAAATAGGGAAATAATTGCTCAGTGTCGAAAAGGTTAATTTTGTCCAGCACAAAACACACCCAGGGTCTGAAGTGTACCTATGGTCTATGCCAAAGCAGGTTTAAGGTATTTAATTTTGATTTTGACTGTATGACTTTGAGATAGGGTGTTTTTCATCAACTAAATTAAATGGAAAATGCAAATATGAGCTTCTGAGAGCCTTATGATTTTGTTTAAATTCCAGGTTATTTTGGAATGGGAAAACTACTTGCTGTTTGGATCCATGACAACGAAGTAGATACTAGTCACTTGCTTTAACAATCTACACCACCATGGTAAGCCATATTCCAAAGACTGGGCCTCAGGTCACTGGTAGTGGTGTTGTGCAATAAGTTGGAGTGACTGGGTATAAGGTTTCATGTTTCTGTCTCAAACACAGCAATATAAAAAGGTATTAAACAACATAAGTGAGCAGGATATGGCAACATACCTTGATTCACAAACAGTGTTTTACATACCAAACAAGTATTAAGTTTCACAGAATATCTCAAAAGGGATGTTGCTAAGGCAAAGATGATGGTAAAAAGAGTATTTCATTAAGACATCTGAATGTAATTTGTAGGATTAACAATGATGCTCCAAGCTATCACCAGGCACATGAAGAAAAACCTCCAAATACAATGGAAAAAAAAAAAGATATTTTTCTCAAGTTTAAGTACAAATATAGAATGGTTTATGCCTAATCATATTTGACACTGAGAAAATTAACTATTGGTTCAACTCTAGCTTCTACACTTTTTCTGCTGTTAAATATACTGCACTTGAGACTGAGTTTTGTAAGCAAACAATTTTGCTAATTGATTGGCTCCTCTTTTCCTTAAAGAAAAAAACCCGCACACTCTTTTTTTGGATCAAAAACCAATTACATGCATCAGAAGTTGACAGTGAAACCAGTTATCATTTGACACGATATAATGGGCATGCTGACAACTTACCAACAGCTGTGATTCCCATCAGCTCTCCTCTTTGGCATTTTCATTTTAAAATTCCAGGGAATTATAGGAATTTCATAGAAGACTGAAAATAACCAAACCCCACTTATACATTAAAGAAAAACCCCATAGCTAGTCTATAACTTCAAAATTTGTTAAACAGACAAAAGGAATTCACAGCAGTTAAGAATGCATTCAAGGTTTAGTTAATCAGGTTATATCTTTTGGATTTGTTAAATAAAATCTGCATCCTTTCAACACGGGGCCATTTCCTTTCATTTTCCTTCCATTGTATGCATAAATTTTCAGGCCACAGCTTACACAAAACAAATAAGGGCATTGACACAGAATTACACTGTAAGTAAGATTAATTAGAGATCACAACAAAAATTAAAAGGAAGAATCTACTTGGTAATTAATAATGACAGCTATATTTAAAAAATTATAATTAATGCAAAAAAAGATTTAAAATGCCCTTAGTAAAAGGCTGCATAAAAATAGGAACACACCATGACTCATTCTTCATAAGCTTTATTATTTACTCCACCTACAGTATTGATGTCACCTTTAACAGATGCACAAAAATATTCTCAGGTCTTTGCAATAATATAGTAAGATTGAATAGGGCTATAAATCTCCAAAGTGCAGCATAAACAGAGAGAAGGATATGAAATGGTGACATACAAGGCACGTAAAGTGACTTGTTGAAGGGCAACAGAGCAATGCAGTGAATCAACGTTGAGGTTCTCCTTAGCAGTGAGTCACATCAGATATCTGGGCTGCTTACACTTGCATTTAGTTTTCAGTCTTTTGGGCTTTTAACAGAAAATCTTCTAAATATCACCTATGGATCAGACACTATGCAGTGTTGCCTTCTTGAATCTGTAGGCAAACGGAAACCATGAAACTATACAGCCAGAGCTACTTTCAAACCTGGAAGCTAGCTACTGAAATTTTATAAGAACTTTTCAGTTTACCTATAAATGGTGAGAAGTATAACTGCACAAAATATGCATGCCAAGAGGTTTAACAAAAAGAGCAGCAGCAGCAATGACCACGTTGCTTGACTATCCCTCCCCAGTCCCATTAACTATGGATGCTGAATTCAGGAGTGAACTACATTGGCTTAGATCCTAGGAGTGTCCTGCTGAAAGGGATCTCAAAGCCAGTAAGAATCTCCCTCTCTAACAAGAAAAGACTTGCAGATTTCACAAATGGTGCAAGCACAACTCTCCCTGGATTTGTGGTTTGTAATACAAATTGAACTGAGATTTTTCAAGTTACCACTAAAGCAGAAAGATGCTGATGACAAAAGAAAGAACATGGCCCAAATTCTAAAATCCACAGGAAAACATTGCCCATTACACAGAAATGAGCTTGACTTGGTGATTAATAGTCATTTTAGGTTTGTGTGCACACAGATCCATGTGGGTGTCTCCTGCTCACTACAAGAAACAAAGAAAATATTTATGTTTTTAAACTCAAAAAAGTATCTGTATTGTTACACTCTAATCCTACAATTATCTCATTAATTTATTCATCTTTTTATATATTCTTAATAGAAAACATTCTGCTGAATTTTCCATTTAGTCTGGAGCACATATCTGAAAGAACAACAGCGTTACCAATACCTAGAATACTACTGCAATGCCAGAGGCATTTCTTAAGTTTCAAAGTTTGTGAAAATCTGAATGGTGAAATTCAGACAAGTACACGGTAAAGATAAAGTTTCTTAACTGATACAATAAATATCCTGACTCTTAGAAAAAAAATCCCGTAATACTGCATATTTGAAAGTTTTCTAATTTTACTGTTGTTGTTCAAACACTTCACATGAGTCCTAATCTACTGTAGCAAAGCTCATGCTCACTTTAAGCAGGTTAGCATTCCAATTCAGCTCAAGGGGATGAGCATACTACTCAAGTGATTTGTTTGATCACTGTCTAAAATTCAAAATTCACAATGGCACCAAGAGGAAGTTGTTATATTTCCACACTGTTTGCAGTAGACAGTCTACATGGCAGAGTATCCCTCTTACTTGTGTGTGCACATGAAGAAATCACTTGCAAAGTGTTTTACTATTGCAGGATCAAGATATTTAAAACAAATTTCTCAAGCAGCCGATGGAGTACAATCTGAAAGGTAGGATTATTTTTTTTTCTTCTTGTGTCAGTTTAAAACTTACTGGCCATTCAGTATTGTAACAGCATTCCACAGCACAAAACACCTCTGGGTTATCTTTCTCTCTGAAGTACTCCACGTTAGATCCTAATGACAATGCTCTGCTGCTGCGAGCACTGGTGAGAGAACAGGTTCTGAACTGTGCTTTTTTCCAAACCCTAAGCTTCCTGATGCAGCAAATTTGCCAGTTTCCACTCTGAAGCGTAGAAAAGGACACTGTACAGAAGAAATACAGGAATAAGTGGAATCAATCTAAATCAGTTAACACAGGTGAAAAACAGCAGGAGAAAATGTGGAAATACAGGCAAATGATATAGGAAGAACAAGCTAAGTCAAGCAGGGGAAAGAAAGAGGGGGATTTGAGAAAAGAACTAATTGGAAAACAAAAATGTAAGGATTAATTTGTTTGGAGAGGGAAAGCACCCTGACTTCTAACAGTTTCCTTACAAAAAGCTGCAGGTTGTTCCATTAAATGGCCAAACACAAAAGCACAACATCCTGACAATTTCAAAAAAAAAAAAATCTCCTTAATCCATTTGTTGTTTTTTTTTGGGGGGGAGGGGGTGGATTTATTTTGTTTGGGGGAGGGGGGGAGAGAGAATACAGTTTTTGCTTAGGGGTTTTTTACAGGTTTTTTTTCAGAAGAGAATCATTGACTCATATGAATTGCTTTCGGCTTTATCCAATTTTCTCTGTATTAAGAGAGGCTGATGTTCTGAGCAGTACAACAACACCACAATATCTGCCACTAGCAATATTTCAGATGATATAAACAAACCAGAAGCATTTGAAATATTCAGGGCAAAATGATTTTTGGGGACACTAAGCTACAATTGAATCAAAGAACTGAGATCACATATCCTGTCTGGCCTCAATCCTGCCTAAAGGCCTATACACAAAAAACTCCAATACCTATATTTGAAGCAATCTCCATAGACATCCAAGTTTACTTTCAGAATATTTCTCCCTTAAGTAAAAATGTATGGCATACTTAAAGGATAAAGGCCTGCTAAACTCCAGCAGTGTCTCTTCATGCCCACTTCCAAAGACGCAAAAGGGTAAAAAAAAAAAAATGCAAACAAAAAATCCACAAAAAAAACAAACCAAACAAACAAAAAACCCCAACCAAAGCAAAAAAAAACACACCAAAGAAGCACTGAGCCTTTTCATAGAACTGTGTGCAACCAAGAGTTTTCAATAAGCTAGAATGCCAGAACTATAGAAGTTAGCTTGATTAGACTTCACTGTTATTTGCCTAAGTTTTATTTTCTTATTTTAACTTACAAGAATTTTATGATACCTAAAACATATTAGATACCCACCTTCTCTCCTTTCCCATCTTCCTGTGTTCACCTGGTGTTTCTCAGATTACCTAAAGATTCAGTCTTTCAACAACATATTTTAAATGTTCTTCTTCCTTTGGCCCCAAATTGCTGCAGAGGGTCAATAAATTGTTTCTGCACAGAACTCACAGGCAAATACAAGAAGCAACAGCTTCTGGTAGATAGATCAACAAAGAGCTTGATTTCATAGTGTACAGTGTGCTGCTGTGCTACAAGCTCGTGGCAGCTGTACAACAATGTGCATGGCACAATCGCATAAAATACCTGGGAAGCAGCCTTTCCACAGACTAAATCCTATGACAGTATGCTGTAGCCTTCATGCTCACTGTCTGATATTTTCCATTTTCCCAATGTCCCAACTAGAATTTCTCACTGATATCACCATCCATAAAACTGACACAATAAAAATGAATTTATTTCAGGGGGGCAACAAAAAATAGCCCTTATATATATATTTATATATTCAGTTGAGAAACAATCCACATCTAGAACATATTTCTATATTTAAGCAGGCTTATACTCTTCAGCTGATTCTCCAAATGGAGGTCTAAGGAAAAGTGAGTTCTGGGCCAGAAGACAGGAAACAAGCAGCTAGCTCCACAGCCAGTTATGCTGACATAAAAATTCAAGTCAAAAGATTTGTTTGCTTTCCTGTCAGTACTGCAAAGAAAATCAAACTGCAGTTTCTGGCTCATTCAGCCCCAGAGTAATAAATATTCTGAAAGGCAGATTCTATCCTTATTTACATTCTCCCAGTCCCCTCTGGTGAGGGTGCAGGAAACTAAGGCCACATCATAGCCAGAAGAGAATCTATTTTGTATTCACATTGTTATGTGAACCTTGCACTGCTACAGGATCTTAGGGACCACGATACCAGTTCAAATCAGTGACCTGAGTGACCACCCAGTTTTCAGCTCAGTGTCTGAGTTTAGTGCCTGTTCATGTTTAAGTCAGAGATAGGTATTGAGATCCTCCAGCCATGCCTCATCAGGCACTCCAGTTCATCAGTTTGCTCAGCAGCATCTCACACACAGCCAAAATGGGATGTGGCCAAAAGCAAACATGTCAAGGACTGAATGCAACTGCAGGCCCTGATATATTGCTGCTTTCTTCAAATGCACCTTCCTGACCTCAGCACTTGCCCTTCCTCGGCTAAATTTTAATCTGATCTTTCACCAGGGACAGCAACATCTTTCAATATTTTTATATTTAACAGATGTCCTTGACCTCTCAGCAACTATTGGATTTTTGCAGACCTCAAAATTTACCAGACTGTAATATATCTATGGATGACGCGTCATGTTTTTGTGTTCTCTCTCTCTCTCTCTCTACTCTGGTATTCTAAATTTTTTTGAGCCCTGTAAAGTTAAGTCCTTTGTACCTCTTCTTTCATCCAAAAGTTGAAATTTCACTTCTTCAGCTATCCCTGTAGACAAAACTAGAAGCAACTGTAAGAAAGCTATCATAAGACCTTTAGTTTTTCTCATTTCCTTTATATTTTAAAGATAGGTCTGACAGACCTACTGAGGGAAATAAAACAAACAAACAAACAAAAAATCACCAGATTTGGAATTGTATGTATTTTTTTATGTGAGGAGAAATGTTTCAGCCACTAGGAAAAAAGAAGAAAGTATAAAGAACAATTACATGCATATAAAAACCTCAGTATTTCCCCATGAAGTAGACAACTAGGCAGAAATTACTCAATGGAGGGACTTAGAAAGATTTTAAGTAACCCAAAATGTCTCCATGATTTCAGTGTATGATTTTTTCTCAAGTAGGCACACAGAATGTGGATGGACTCAGTGTAGAAGGCTTGTGGTCTTCATCATGCTCAGATCAGGCCACTGAACAGGGTTGAAGTTACAGAATATTGCAGAAGCAGCGTAGAGCAGTTCAAACTTAGCTCTGATCCTCCAGCTAATATGGGAAAATACCTCGGACAGGTATTGAGTAACACCTCAAAGTACAGACATTTGTAGCAAGAGCTAGGAAGCAGCTTCTTGCATATGTACAGAATAGGAACTATATGAGAAGACAAGAAACAGAAGAGTATTTTGAAGTATTCAAATACTTCAGAAATAATTAGGAGTAAATAATAGCTTTCAACACCTATACTACCATAATGTGAACATGGAACAGAATTTCCAAATTAAAGCTTTTATTTTTGCTGCAACATCTTTATAAGGAACCTCATATTTTAAAATAAACATAAAAAATTTAACTTGAACAATTATGGTATACATCACTTTCTGTGCACTTCTCTTTCAGCACCCTCACGCAATCAAGTCAAACAATCTCTCTGTATGACATCTTCCCACTATTCTCTTGGGAAGCCATAAGAGCAATGACCCTTTGAAATCCACAACCAGGACAGCAGTAGCTGCATTTTAAAAACTGGGGAGCAAATAATGAGACATCATTACCAACAGGAAGAGAAAACTCCTTGGGCTACCACGTACCTATTCCCCGTTTGAGACTCTTTTTATTTATCTTTGCATGCCTGTGTATGACACTTAAGGAGAGGTACCTTTATAAACACCTAAGGAGAGGTATATTTATACAGAAATGCAGCTTTACAACCCAACTTGACATGTCATTTCTTTATCGGAAAGATTATGGTATAAAAATGACAAACAACTTCCTCTGCTGAATCCCTGCAAGACTGACAAATGGGGCAAATGAGTCAAGTTTTTCTCTTAGAAAGATTCACTTCATCATATATATGACATACACAAAAGACATGTTAGAATAGGGAGTCCAAGTTAAGAGCAAGAATTTATAATCAAATATCCATATGTATCTGTGCCAGGAGGGACAAGGCATTTCAGCTGTAAGTCTGCTGAGAGCCTCAGAACGTGCTGCCCTAAGGTGTGACTATACAGATTTCCTGTGGGCCTGACTCCACAGGGTGTTGCTGACACTTCAAAGCCTGGCAGGTACATTAAGGCCACATCTTACACAGACTAAGAGAACAATGTTCAGCCTAAAACACAGCAACCACATCAACTCCAAGCCAAAACCATAGAGGAGGCAGTGATTATTTTACACCGTATTAAAAGAGCTAGAGAATTCCCTCATAAATTAGGATCCCGAGTTCAGTTTGACCCCAGTCTCAAAGCCATACTTCACAGTTATCAAACTCCCATCCTTGCTGGTGTGCTCTGAAGCAGGCTGCTGAAGCCTGCCTCTGGGAAAGGAGCTGGTCTAGGCAAAGTGTAAGCAAAGGAACCTTGTGAACTGTAGACCCATGGCAACATTATTCCAGGCCCTGATTCTAGATTTGTTTCTATGTTTCATGCTTTAAAAAGACATTGGATACCACCAAGGTTTTTCAGAGCAAGGGCTGGAACCCAAGAATTCTTCCTCCAAATTGCAAAATTACAGAGACACTTTAATCTCTCAAGAGATAAAAATTTCAGGTACAGTCCCCTCTGTTACATAAAAAATGGCTATAACTATTTTGAGGCCAGAGCTGTACTGCCAAACACAGTTCCCCACTTGGGCTTAGCCTAACACAATTACTGAATCAAATATAGTTTCTCTGCTGATTGCTTCTTTTACATTTACATGATCATCTGCTACCCATACCCAGTTTTTGCCTTGTCACACATTTAG